CAGTGCACATGCTTCAGGCCCTTTTTCTGTATTCCATGCGTCATCACAGTGTCTTTGCTTTGTCTAGTATTTTACAAAAACAGATGTGCTCATGGCTTCATACACACAACTGTAATTCACATGGCTTCATAGCTCTTACTATTTTGTTTTGATTATTATCATCTCACAATATTGAAGCCATGCGATGAGTGAAACCCAGCAAAACTAGCAAAATTAAAATTCTCAAGATAGTAAATGTAATTGAACAGCAATTGCTTTGTCAGTTATTGATATTGGTTTTCTCCGGAAGCTACAAACAAAATTGTATCTCTTTGGTTTGCTACAATAAACCTCAAACAACTAATAAATTATTAGTTGTCTGAGAATTAACATTGTTTTGAAACATTCCCTACACAAAGTCATAAAAGTGACTTATGTATTATTTGCGTTCAAAAAATAATTTCTTGATTTATGAAATGTACTCTAAACTATCGAAATAACATAACTAAAATAAACAACTCTAGTTTAATCATGTGCGTAAAAGTTTCAAAGACAATGCAATGTTTATTCACTGGCAATGTTGAGATTTGCATCTCTTTTGTTCGAATGACTGCGAACAATTTGAATAACAAACAGGAGCTGTTAAGACAAAGTGTATAGATCCACAGTTACTAGTAACCATGATAGATTGGACCTCTTCTGTTCTGGCTATTCAGAAAACGACAACTATTTAATAAATGTTTTTCCGAAATTTACGAATTGTCTGGAAATCACCCGTGACCACAAATGATTGAATGCTTGCCTTTGAAGGTCACAATTACCGTTACGTATTTTTTTTGTTGAATTATGCTATTTTCAAGAAAGTTGGCATGTTTGACAAATTAATTTACGAAAGTTGTTTTTTTTCGAATTGGGTGTGTAAGCATGTACGTTGAGTTATCCGGTAATGATTCTATCGCAGTGAGTGTTTACAAACACTTAGTGGTTATTCCCTGTTTGTTTCACAAATTATTAATTTGCATATCAATATGTCAATGTCACACTAACCCTTTGGAAACAAGCAATTTTGGCGTTTTCATCTGCCGATTGAACCTAATTATAGCAAACTGATTCCTTTAATTTATTTATTTCCAATAGCTTCATAATTTTGATGTCCCTACAAATGTTATATAGCAGTATTTCATGCAAAAATAACATCCTGATTGCTTTGATAAACAGGCTTGAAAATCATTGCTGCAACTTCATCAACATTTTTAAAAATCGGGCACAGTATGAATTGTCTTGATGGCCCAGAATGATGGTGCAACTAGGGGGCACACAATTCTTATTTTGTGAAATAAGAGAGTACCGATCCCTCCACATACCTTTATTTGGTACATAATGTCACTTTGTTATTATTTGCCTTGTCAGCTGCAGCTAGTGGTAGTGATGTTATACAACTCCCTCCCTTAGCATATAAGAAATGGGGTTTACAGGAACAAGAGAGAATTACAGACCATGTGTCTGCTGGTGAGCGCTATATTGTTTGTTATTAACCTTTATGCAATGTTATTTTTACATATTTGTTTCTGGTTTAATTAAGAATTAGTTGTGAAAATGATGTAAATCTAGAAATTTCTGTAATTTGTCAATTGAACCTTAGACTACAGACAATTTTATCTTGGAATTACTGGGAGTCACCAGACTTGATTTCAACACTAAAGCTTTTCCAAAGTTTCAAACATGTTTACAAAATCTTGGCGAGCTGAACTTGTAAGTTGATTATTGTTATGTAATACTGTAGCATCTCCCATCAATCACAGTCTATATTTCTTAGTAATACTGGTACAACTGTGACCTATGTGCTATATGCTAGTACACAAATTTTGCTTTTGCTTCATATGATAAATAATTAAAAATTGTTAAGCAAATGATATTGCGCAGAATATATCCTTTTGTATTCAATAGATGAATTAATAAAACCAGTAATACACTGAGGGAAGTTGCATTCAAGTGATATTTGACAATGCATGCAGAAATAAAACTTAAACTTAAAGCAACCCTATATGTGTTTGTTTGTTCAGGTGTGATAACACCATGCTCATTTAATCAGATGGAGACAGCATCCATATTAGGTGGTTATAAGGCATCTATTAAAACCAGCCCACCTGCTGCATCTAAATACCTGACAACTGGGATTGGACCATTTGTAGGAGTTTACTATGCATTAGAGGTAATGCACCAATTTTACTTCTTGAACTTTTTCATGAAGACATAATTTACTGACGATAATGTGCATAATATGTCATCATCACCTAGATGTCTTTTTGAAATGTCTATTTGAAAACATGTAAAAATGGTTATTACCCTGAGAAAAAAACAAAGTTTGTCACATCAGTGATTCACATCCCATTTCACTCCTGATATTATTTTACAGGGAAGTACACAGCCATTGTTATCTGATGTTGCTGCAGCAGTGGCTAGTAAACTGAAGTCTGCATTGTTCTCTCAATTCTCAGCTGCCAGGTAATTTGTACAGATCTTTCATTACTTTGCATGACAGTGATGCCAAATGATATGTACAAAGTAAGATGTATGCAGTTGTTAACTTAGTTTCAGAATTCTCTGTTCTTGTCAAGGTTATAAATCTATGAAGACAAAGTACCATGGTAGCATTCAGTGATGTGTTCTATTCACTACATTCAATTACCCACCATAGACTCTGGTCAGTCAAAATGACTATGACCAAGGCCATATGGCGATGCCATTACGGCTGGCTAATCACTCTGATTTTTTTCTCTGCCTCGAGTGGAGATGAAATCTAGCGAGCTCTGCCTGGATCGCTTGCTTTTTCTTGTCCGGGTTTCTAGCTCGGGTTGTTGCCGCTAGGCGGCATTCGACATTGTAGCTGGTAGGATAAGTTTTCCTTGTCATTTTTACCCTTGTGTCGTTTTCCCCTTTGTGTGTAGCATTTTTCACAACAAAGAAATAAAACCCGGGCGTCGTAGCTTAATCACTTGTTGATTGCGTTACGTCACATTTTACTACTGTAATTCACTTCCCTCATGCATGTCGTCTTCATTTTACGTATTTAGAAATGAATAGATGTAATGACAGCCCCAGGACTCGCTGCCGTTTTTTGGATGTCCTCGTTTTTGAGTCGACTATGCAGTGGTTATATTCAGAATTTACCAGCATAGAATCTGCATCCGATATTCCTTTTGGGTTCAGGGTTTTTGCCTTGAAGGCGTGTGTTTTTCACTGGAGTTCTGAGGCCTGAGATATTTTTTCAGAGCCATCAAAATGGCTGAGACTGAGCACGTCGCTCGTATTTTCACAGCAAGGTCGCGCGTCCAGTAAAAATCGGTTAAAGTGAGTTGCGTGTTTGGCATGAGTGGAAAGTCCTCACGCTCGGCTACCGGTGCTTCGTGTACCGGGACGTAGAGTAGGAGGCCCGACAGTGGAGGTACCAATATTTTTTCGGTCTCCCCCCACTGATCTGAGGGCATTCTCACAGTCTGTGTTTTCAGGTGGTGGTTTATCGATTTTACTGGCTACAGCAAGGCTGCGCCCCTGGAGGTTTTTCCTCCTATGGGGCCCGTTGCGGGTTCCTTTGTGGATCCTTCCTCGCACGGCGCCAGGTTTGCCTCCAAGTTAAAGGCTTTGGTCAAAGGACTGTCAGGGCAAATTGCGTCCCTGGCAGGCAGGGTAGATCAGACGCAGTCGGAGCGAGCTGTCTCCACTGCGCCCCCGGTGGGCAAGCAGGAAGAAACACAAAAGCATCGTTTGCATTCAAACACGTCTCTTTTGGGGGAACCTCTCGTTCCCAGCCACGGCTCTCCCACTAATTTGGGTGAGGCCGAGGCTCAGGCTAATTGCATCAGGTTTCCTCTGGGGCCTCGGGCACTGAATGCCACGGGGTGCTGGCAGCCAAGCCTCCGATCTCGGGGGCAGGGCTTTCAGGGCAGGGCACGGCACACATTGCACCCCCCCCCTACCAGGGTTCGTCGCGCGGTAATGGTACAACAGTAACTAATTTACCCTTGTGTCCAGTCTCCGGTGTGGGTTTTGACTCCCTTCTTACCGATCCTAGTGATACGATGTACATACCCCCACCCCTGATCCTAAGGCGACCACTTGCGGTTGATTCAACGCTTATGGGATCACGGGTGTCAGGATCCAAAGCAACCCCGTCAGCACGTCTCTCCCTGTCTGTCCGAGTGCGGATTGGTTATTACACAACCCGGACAAGGGGTTAACACGTCAGGCTAACATAGGATTTTTTTCACCAGTTGGACTCTTTAGTAAATCGACAAGTACCATCTCGACCCAACGCGCAGTTGGTGTTCCTGGGCATGGGGTTTGACACAGAGGTAAGCTTGGTATAGCTATTTCAAGCGTGTTGCTTAGTGCTAAGCAGCCTAGTCGAACGCCTAGTCAGCGTTCCCTCAGTGTCCCTCGGAGAACTAATGTGGATCATCGGAATGATGACCTCGGTTCGTAGGGTGGCTCCCCAGGCCGCACTACGCAGCCGCCCGGTATAACTCTTGTTGTTACAACGCCGAGCTCTTCTATGGGAACTAGATAGGTGGGTTTTGATCTCGGTAACAGACGTCTATTAGACGAACAAGCCCAAGGATATGGCCCGCATTACTTTCGGGACTACCATATCAACCAGCTCGAACTGAAAGCAGTGCACTTAGCACTACTACGCTTTCTACCCGTAGTTCGAGACCACAGAGTCCTGCTCCGCACAGGCAACGCAGCGGTGATCTCCTTCAAGTAGGTCCCCATCGCTGTCGCTCCTAGCAGAGCAAATCCTTCTTTGGTGCCTGGAATACAATGTGGAGCTAACCGCACACCACCTTCCAGGGGTGAGGAAGTCTCCAGAACACGGAGTGGCTGATACCCCAGTGGGTAGCCTCCAGGCTGTTTCGGCTGTTGGACGATCCAAGGATAGACTGGTTTGCCGCACCCAGGAACGCCAAGCTCCTGACTCCAGGAGCCTGGGCAAGGGTCGCTTTGCTAACCCCATGGACCCACTTAGTTGTGTACGCCTTTCCTCCCTTCCCGCTAGTTCACTGGGCACCGGAGAAAACTTTGACAGGTGCACACCTGCATATTGTCATTGGTCGCACCCAATTGGCCAAGCAAGGCCTAGTTTCCACTTTTGTCGGAAATGCTAGTCGAAACACCAGTAGTGCTTCCGGACTTACCGGACCTGCTGTCCCAACCGGATGGCGCACTACCAATGAGCCCAGCGGGCATCACTTACAAGCATAGAGGCTCTCAGTAGACCCGCACATACGAAAGCTTTATCTGAGCGGGCTGCCAACTTCCTGGCCAGGGCGAACAGGGATTCCACCAACATGGCCTACATTTCTAGGTTGCGAGCATACACTCATTGGTGATTGATCCATACCATCCCTCTATTGGCCAGGTAGCAGGCTCCTTCGTCCACCTGTTTGACGAAGTGGGTTTGTCCTACGCAGCGATCGTTGGCTACAGATCGGCCTTGTCCCCCACCATTCAAACGTATGGGAACAAGACTAGCCGATTGTCCTATTATTAGGAGACTATTTACTGCTTTTCAGACGCCGAGACACCATACAAGGGTACCGCCCAACTGGGACTTGTCGTTTGTGTTGTCCGCTCTAAGCAGAGCGCCCTTTGAGCCCCTCCGATCAGCACCACTCAAATTTTTGATGTGGAAAATAGCCCTCCTACTGGCCCTCGTCTCAGGTAGGCGTCGGCCAGAGCTGGGGGCATTGTCCTTCTCGGATGATGTACCGCCATTATAGACAATCAAGTTGTGCTAAAGACACGAATCGGGTTTCTTGCCAAGAACCATATCCCAGGACACAATCCTCACCCGATCGTCATCCCCCGGCTGTCAAATTTTGTCGGCCTGGAGGGTCAGGAGGAATTGCTTCTCTGCCCGGTTCGAGCACGGAGTTGGTACCAAACCGTACTAAGGATTCAGGACGGGGTCCCATGCACATGTCTTGGTATTACAGCCCAGGCAGGCAGGATAGGCCGGCATTTTGGCTTCTTGCTCTTGGGACAGCACAGGCAAGGTAAGATACCACCCTTTTTGAGTCTTAACTAAGGTGTTGAGTGATTATTATAGAGTGTTTCTTCCTGGACTGGGAAAAGACTTTCATAATTTTTCTGTTTGCTCGGAAAACCCGCCACCTATCGACGTCTGACTCTGCCTACAGGTCAAAATAATCATTTTGACTGACCGGAGTCTATGGTGGGTAGTTGAACGTAGTGAATTTAGGCAGAGGGTTCTCTGAACCCGCCTATTCACATAGTTCATACCCACCATAGACTCTGGGTCCCCTCCAACCACTCCATAGCGTTGGTCTGAGTCCTTGAGGCGGAGAGAAAGGAAACAGAGTGATTGGCCAGCCGTAATGGCGCTGCCATATGGCCTCGTCACATGGTTCGTGACCTAAGGGAAAAGAATCTTGGGGTCATGGGGCTTCCCCTGATCTAGATTCTACTTCTCAGTCATTGGCAGAATCGCTGATTAATGCCGACAGTTCAAAATAGTCATTTTAACTGACCGGAGTCTATGGTGGGTATGAACTAAGTGAATAGGCGGGTTCAGAGAACCCTCTGCCTAAA